ATCAGCTGGAGAATCTATTGCTACTTTATTGAGAGTTTGACATCTCAGAGAAATGTTTACTGTTAGGCAAACCGAAGCTGAAAAGCTCATAAATAAGCTATATCGTTTTGGTAATACACGTATATGTACAAGCTACAGAAATCCTACGATGGGAATGTTGAACATCTCGTTGAAAGCTCAATAAAGGAGCGTCGTACGGTGTTTCGTTGATAGTGTGACCATCATCGGTACTAAGCTGGGAGCCCTCATATATATATATATATATATACGTGAAAGATAAAAAAGGAAAAGCATAACATTCATAGCCGTACGATTACGGGGCTGCAGAGAGAAACGAAACAAAACAAACGACCTTTATGGGTACCTCACTTCTACGAGCAAGCAATTCCTATTAAAAATATATACCCAGTCTAAATCGAACCTGAAACGGAGTGCTGATCAACGAAAGTCTGGAAATGAATAACCCGAATCTCGCCCGACTACCCTATATAGCTTCTTCATGGATTTTTCAGCTTAGGTTTTTTCGACATGAGGTGTTAAGTTCGTAGACTCTTCAGCTGATGGAACCTCACGCCTGATGCCCGTGGAAATGATGCCACTGCAACTGCAGTGTTACTGTTAAATCAATTTATTTCACTGTTGAGATAAAACGCTGTTACGTACCTAAACGATTAGTCTCTTCATAATACACTTGCCTTGTATTTCTGTGGCTCTTCGCATTGTTCATGGGCAACGATAACAAAGAAAGCTATGACGCCGAGCGAGATAAGAACTACCATAAAAACGATCGAGTGCCATTCTGCGAGGTTGGCCTCACGGTACCTCGTGAAAAAACCAACGGCAAATGCACTGGCCGCGATCACGAATACGCAGGACGAGACGAGCATCTGCTGTTGGCAGTTGCTGTAGAAAAAATGGGATTCATTTTATTGATCACAGCCATATTATCCTAGATGTCGATTCGGGCGTTTGAATGTTCGCGCCATCTTTGTGCGTATTTCAACCGCGTATTGGTTCAGTAAAGTGCGGCCAGATCAATATAAGCAGCAGATCGGGCATGTTTGATGATTGGCCGAAGATGTACTGAGCTTTATTATGTAGTGATGTATAAACAGTGAACACGTTGATACCCATTGGTGTCTAACTATATATAACAATAAGTATGGAAAAACTTCTTTACCTCGGAAAGTAGGGGCGAAACCTTTCAGCCCAAGGCTTTAATTGCTGGCCGGTGGGATCATACGCATCCGCACGAACGCCATTATTTAGTCTTATAGGAGCCAAGATGCCATTGTCGTTTCCAATCGGTTTCAACTCGTGAGCCACCTGGAAGGGCCACATCGGCCGTAGCTTGGAAACTAGTGTTCGTACGCTGGCACAGAGATCATTCGTTGTCATTCATCCAGGTAATGCCAGTCATGTTCATCCCTCGTATTTGATTATCTATCTTATTACTATTTTACTATATTAAGTATTAGAATAGCAGCGGTGAATTGTCCGTGTTCAAATGTAGCGTATATCTGCTGCTTTTTGAAATTTTTACATTACACTAATGTGAAAGAAACATGTTCATACATTTTAATATGTATAAAACGTTTGTAAGGCAAACTTAAGCGCTGTATGCACTCTGCCGGGAGTCACGCTATCGAATAGAAATGATACCAGGCTTAATCCAATCGCCTCGAACAGACGTGAAGCAGACTTAAATTATTAATATTGCTCACTAAATTATATATTGCATAGAAACTACGGAACGATCTTTTGAAAATTATGACATGTCCTTTCATTATTCTTATTAGTACTATCCCAGTGACTGGTTAAATCCAAACTAATTCATGGTTCCTGCTCGCAGTAGGCTCATCTCTCTCCAGCGAAACGGATATTTGTTAGAGTACGTAACGGTTTCAAGATCTATGCTGTAACAAGCCTTCCATTGAATTACCAGCTACGTGTTCCGTAGGAAATTCCGTTTTTACTTCCGTCAAAACAATTATTACTCATGTATAATTCTGTAAATTGGTATTCATATTTACTGAAACTGTGTAAAATAAATTAATTATTTCTAGCAGCTTTCAATGCCGTTTCAACAATGAGTTCAGAACAGAAAAAATGTAAAAGCAAAATACAGCTTCTCGGAATTGAATTTGTTCCGCGGTTTGCCGAATTAACGATTTAAATGTTGGTGCTATCGAATAAATTGTGCGAGCTGAACTCAATGCTAAAAAATAATCGTCAAAACAACATACTATGGCGGCAATTTATCTCTATTTGTGCGGGCAAAGTCGAGCCGAAAAAATTTAACAAAGCTTTTTTTAAATAAATCATAGCTACCTTGGTAATCTGGTTGGGTCTGTAGCGGAAAATGATAACGCCGCCTGACACAATAAGGTAGGCCGAGAGCGTGCCAATCGACATCATTTCGACCAGTGTATCGATGTCCAGAATGACAGCAAGGATAGCGGCCAGAAGAGAGAATACGTACATTGATATCAGAGGGATCTGACTCTTGGCAGCCACCTTGCCAAAGATCCTAGATGTCATAAAACGTCAAAAATAGGCACTGTGATTTATTGACGGAAAAAGGACATCGAATGGATGGATAACTGTCGTCACAGCGACGAGCCAACGACTCCAGGCAGATAGGCCTCTAAGTTACAGTAGAGCTATTACAATATAGTAGAATCCTTGTATCGACTCACCCATGAATAAGGCCGTCGTCCGCCATAGCGTACGCTATTCGAGTAAGCGCATAGAGGGTTCCGATAAGCACCGTCGACATTCCGGCCAAGGCGCCAATCGTGACAAGAATCTCCGCCCACACAACGCCTAAAAGATATATGCATATATAAAAAGAATAGCTTATGTAAGCAACGAGCTTCCACTTTATGATATACAGCAATGGAGTTTTGTGTGTACATAATAAAAATGTGCCCCCTGACAGGTTTGGATAACGTTACTACATTAATGATAGTACGAGGGCATGATTGAAGGTTCTAAACAAACTGTTGTATTTAACTATAGGTTGGTTTAGGGATGGCTTCGTTATATGTTCAAGCCGAAATAAACGACGGAACGTGAATGAATACCAGCTGTCAGAAATTCAGATGGTTAGGCAAGATGAACCAGCATCCTTAACGCATTCACCACAACGACTTTGAAATCTGGCTTAAAGAGCTCTTCCGGTACGTTAAAGAGAAGGACTTGTTTTAGTTCGGGACGATCAAAGTCGCACCGCAACCAACCTTTAGCGGCGAGAGCGGCCGGCAAACCAGAACGCGACGAAATCTCCGTGTAATTTACCATGAGAGTAAGCGTTGCCGATACAGCGATGTACAAAACCGTTACCAGTCCCATTGAACAAAACGTGGCTACTGGTAGTGATCTGCCCAATGAAACGTGAACATCGAAACAGCAAAAGCTCACAATCAACAAAGAACTAAGTAGCAAAATACAAACAGTAAGTATTACTACGACAATACCAGGTAACTTATTATATTAGCTAGGTATTATTAAAGGAGCAGCATTGATATCTACTTTGCGGCCGATTTGGTTAACGGGGCTTTGTCATCTCGAAGCAGAACTGTCAGAACAAATCGGCGATCGTATCGAAAGAGATCTTGGCATTTTTCCCATGAATCGATAGACACTTGTTGACTCTGACGGTAAAAATCTATTACAAGTGGTTTAAGGAAACGTAGCGCGTTTTCTTTCTGTTAATCATTTTACATCTCTGTTACTCCCCGAGAATACACTGATGTGACTGGCTGAACCATGAATGGCGGGCGTCGAAAGGTACCTTTGGGGATTTCTAGCCTCCTCGCCGGCGGCAGCAATGGCGTCGAAGCCAACGTAGGCGAAAAAGCACGTCGCCGATGCACTAAGCACCCCACTCATTTTGAAGGGCATGAAGCCACCTGTAATGTCGGACCATGTTACGTATGTGCATAGTGGCTGATCATGCATCGTTCGAAAGTCAGCTTTCGGCTAGTAGTTCCCTTGTGGCAGCTGAAGGTTCAGCTTAACGTCAATTTACTCCGTGGACTTTACTCAATATCAAAACATTACTATCCGAAAAAACAGAGCGGTACGCACGGGTTGTAGGATTTGTCCAGTTGTTAATATCGGCGAAATATCCTCCCACACAGATAATGACGAGAAGTACGGCAATATTAATGATGCAGAGTATGTTGTTTAGCCACGATGTTGCCTATAAGAGTACGCACGCTTCTCTGATGTCATCGCCGTCATATATTAGCGTCATAGCTCAAATCAGAACAGAAAATACGTGCCTGTGAACGTGAACAGTTAAGTCGAGACCCTACAAAGTTTCGTAACAGGCGTGTCAATCTAGCGCAACAAAGAGCCCTCAATAGATGGTTTACGCATTGTGTCATTACTATCGAAATTTGCATATTATTCCGTATGAATGGAAGAAGCTCATTTTTTGTCCGACTGTGTTGTTTGTTATCACTCGTCACCATTGTAATCTGCTACTCTGACGGACGTAGTGCAATGGTGTTTTTCTCCGGAAAGTCCTGAAAAATGCTTCATTAATGCCACCTAATTAGAATGGGCAGTGTTCCAAACTGGGCCAAAACTACTATAGGGAAATGTACAATCTAGGAACGACCTCGGATGTCCACTACTAGTTTTCTTTATTTTTGGGCGTTTCTTAGCCCTGCTCCTGATCGGTAATGAACTGTGACCGCGGTGCCATCGAACGTCATAATCGCAGTTGTGAAAAGACGATAAGACCCGAACCTGTACGCCAATGGACATGAACACAACGTATAAGACAATAACGACGAATGCGAGAAAATCTGGATGCTCGGAAAGTAGATATCCGCCCATTTTGCCGATGTTCTCGATTAACCATTGACGAATTACGCCGCCGCACAGGTTGTCGATGTAGTCACTGCACGCACGTGCAACAGCCGAAATACCTGAGTTAGTCACAGAAACCACACCAGCGTTTAGCCGCTTGTCGAAAACCTGATGACTAATTGAACAACTATGAAACAACAATGTAATAGATAGCGGTGTTATGTTTACGTACTGGAAAAAATGGTATCTAGTCCTCGTAAAAGTTCAATGATGCGCTGCTCCGTGGATCTGGCACGCCCGCTCATCGTTGAACCGTTGCACATCCCAATCAATTTGATAGCACGGGTGCCCGTAATATAGAGTAGCGAACTGATAGTATTTCTAAACATACTAACACATGCATTGCAGCAAATACGCAGGAAGGTACGTACCGATGACATTTTCAAGGAGAACGTTCCAGCCGACGAAAAAGGCCCAAAATTCACCAACGCTAAGAAAAATGAGGCAATATTATTAAAAGGAAACCTAACTACTCAAAAAAAGAAAACCAAAAAAAAGTCCAAGACTGCACTTTCTGTTTACTATTAGTCTGCGAAACGGGTGAACTGAGAATTTGTTCAGCTGGAAGAAATTACTGCAACTGAAGAAATAGCTTTAGGTGCACAACAAGCTAAAACCCAAATGAACATATATGACAAATCAGCCGTTGCTCACCCTCGCCTTGCCTAAAATGGTCTTCTCCTCGAATTTGTGGATCCGCATTTATAACTAAAATAACTGAAGATGAAACCGTTCTTTTAAAGATACCTGAAGTAGGAGTACGAATAAGCCGATCCTGCACGAGGAAATTTCACACCGAACTCTGCGTAGGCAAGTGCTGCTAATAGACTTGCTACGCCGGCGATAAGATACGATATAATAATTGCTGGACCTATTGATCAAGTATGAAAAGGACATCATTAGATCAGCTTGATAGCTTCATCTACTATTTGGAACAATTACAGTCTCTGCCGACCGCGTTGTTCCTATCGGTTGGCCCCGGTGCGCAGGGGTGGATAAGTGGTTATTCTGAAAATTAGAGGCTGGTTTGCGTAAAATGAGCACGTAATAGACGCGGCATCGTTAAGCCGAATTTCTTCTGTTAAATTGAATACCAAACATGATCTAAATTGATTTGTGAGTCGTGTCTGAAAAAGGCCCAAGGTCAAAAATATGTTGAAAATGTATTCCTAACGAGGTCTCGGCACATGAGTAAACAGAATTATTCTGTTCTAGTTAAGGCATTGCACGATGGTCGGTCGCACGTAGCGGAAATGTATGCATACTCCGATAACCCGCTGCCACGTGATTTCAGTTAGCTCCTACAGCAAGTCCTTCACCTCAATATCCATGTGTTTCATATTATAGAATACTGGTTATCATTTAATAGACACTATTCACCGTTCGCTTAGAACTACTCAAGTCGAATCAGCGGATACGTCTCGCTCTATAGTAGATAATCATAATGGAGAAACGGGCCACTTATTGATATAGAACGCAAACAAACAGACGCTAATCCGAGTGTGTTTCTACCGTCGCAGCTGTCAAGCGCCGTTATCACAAATGAGGTGATCCGTGTCAGACGACTTGATACGCTCACGTTACCATCAAAAACTAGGGGCACTCCATTACGGCAGCGATCGCGCCCTACGTGAAGCACCACGTAGCGGTGTTCGCAAGCAAACGCTTTTTTCATAGACAAAATGAATCAACTTAATAGTCGATTCCTCGACTGTTTCGGGGAGCGTGCTTTTCCAAATTGTAATTTTATGTGTCATACATTCATATGGAAAAGGAAAATGGGCGGATAGCTGCGTGAGGCGTTACGCAGGCAAGACTGATACCGTGTTGAAGCATCTAATGAATGAATTTTCTAAAGAATGCTCCCTATGGATTACGCACATATCTGAAGCGCCAGACACCGTTGTCCTTCAGTATGTTATTACTTGTTTAATTTTAGTTAAATTGGCTTCATTTCCGCTCTGCAACTAGAGAGCCTATTGTCTATGATGTACGTCTGTTTTGTTAACTAAGAACTAGAGTTTTATGCGAAAGATCTATATGTCGGTTTGCGTTGCGTATGGACACGAAATGTGTCCTAGCTAGAAGACTTGGAAAAAGTGACCGGCGCCAGATTTGTACAGTCATCAAGTAAAAGTAGATCGTTTTATCGGCTACTGTGTAGTTACGCTATAGAAGTGTATGACAGAGAGAAAATATAAAAGCATAGCGTAGAGACTATAGCGGGGCGTTTAGGGCAGTCTCGTGGAAAAGTCTATACGCGCGGCAAGATCCAGCTACGAAATATATAGATATCAAAAATCGAACAGAATACGAGAAGCCTGTTAATATGCAAAGGAATTATAAAAAAGAAATCTATGATACATTACAAACATGCTTTCGTTCCAAAAAAGCCCAACATATAAGGATTGTGGACTCACCGGCAGTTTGTCGAGCAACACTGGGTGTTAGCACGTAGATCCCTGAACCCATCATATGGCCAATTCCCAGTAAGGTGATATCGAGCGTACTAAGACATCTAGCGTCACCCATATACATGGAACAAGGCCGAGTAGAAAAAAACTCATTACCTACAATACATTATAATATCCAACGGAGCAAGGCTGCAAAAAAAAACTAATAATCCAGTCTGTATTAAGTTAACTTAAAAGCCGGCGCATAGGTACTCGGAATAATCCACCATTTCTAATTTTCAGCTGCTTAAATAACAAGTAGATATTAAAATCAATATGAAGCATCTTGGTGACTTCATTTACTACTAATCTAATACTATACATCCTTGTGCTGCGTCGAATTTTAACAGTAATTGTGGTTACAATAGGTAAACGTCTAATTTTGAGACAATTCTTCGCAGCACCATGCGAATAAAATAGTAGTCTCGGGCATGTTTTACCAACCGTTTTAGGTTCGTTACCATATGGTCCTCTTCCATATGCTTTTTACGTGTGAGCTTAGCAATAAACGTCGACATCATTGTGGCGGGTTTACGTTGCTTGATTTCAATGGACAAATTTCAGGGGACTCCGAGACCGAGAGAGAATGGCGGTATGCCTGAAAAACTTTTCCACATTTGTCAAATAGGTAACAAAAAAATTGATTAGACAATAGTATCATTTTGTAGAGTTGTCCTATCTTCGTGACAGGAAAGGCTGTGGACGTTACCTTTCGATTAGTTAAGATGCTAGCTTTCGTAGCAAGGCCCTACATGGACGTTGACAAGCATGGCGTTTGTTATGCTGACTGCACAGTTTATTCGATTTATGATAACTGGGAGTGACCCATAGTTTATGGTAAAAGCTAAAAAAGCTCCGCGTATCGACTTAGAACATGGCGATTTGAGCGTTTCAGTGCTATCTGTCTATACATGGACCTGCGTAGCCCAGGACTCGAAATGTCCTTCGTCCACCTCCACGAATTTTCTCTCTTTGGCGGTAGCTTAGATTAAAGTCCGAGATCTAGAAGTAGCCGGGTCGACAACAGCCACACTTACTACGTACAAATTATCTCGGTTTTCTGCAATGCTCCTATGAAATTTAGGTGTGAGATCCCGATTCTTCTGGCAAGCGACCATTTGTCTGTATCTTCTCTAGGTAGTAGACAGGTTATTTGCATGGCGAGCCATCAGGTATTTGTGCTGTTCAATTTTAGTGCTGCTTCTACTAGTAATAATCACGCTGGTGCATTATACCAGTAAAATAACATTATTTTTCCTTTTTTTCCGAAAAGAAAAACAAATTCAACCGTTTAGAATAACAACCGTCGAATGTTAAATTGTACAGCGCGCGAATATAACTCTATTGTCGCTAACCAGCGAAACGGATATCGAGTGATATAGAAAAAGTGGTTTAGCGGCAGAAGGCTATTTAAGGTCCTAAAGTTGTCATAAAATTAAATATTTATTACAGATTTACGTCACGTGAAACGTACAGATAAAAATGCGTTTGCATTTTGATTCAGACGCGAGAGTCCCGAATTTTCTTGATTACGTATGTGGGCAGAAAAGGCCATGCCAAAGGAATTGGGCTAGTCTATACAATTTCTGCGTAGATGATTGATATTTAAGTGTTAAAAATGCTTCTGAACAGCAAACGTATAATACGATTGATAGACGTACTTTCTGCGTAATGTGTCTTTGTTTAAGAATGTGAGAAAAGTTGGCGTTTATACACACATTATCATAGTAGAGCGCTACACGTAAGCTTCACCCCGCCAACGTTTGGCTCTACTTGCATGAAGCCAATTATATTTACGAAGTATAGCTAAAAGGCCACTGTACAAATCGTCGCCACTTATGCCATCCAAACGTTGATAATAACTAGTGAGAATGAATTGTCGGTTGAATTATATCAACAGAGACCATGGCATATTGTAAACCTTAGATAACGATTTACCGTTGGAACATTTTGTAACGTAATATAGAACAGTATATACATATATATATATATATATATATATATATATGTTATTAAAAAAAAACTCTCATAGACAAACGACACTCATCTTCGTTTATTACTTTTCGTACCAGAAGAAAGTTAGTTTCTTCTAGAACAAGGCGGCAAATTCATTATGGCGAAACACAACGCGTGGCCTTTGGAACTTGCACAAACGTCAACTATCACCTAACCTTTCGGCGCTGGACGAATCTATATAAAAATGAAAGACTTTCTTTCTTACTTTAAATTAACGGTCTATGCTATGACCAGTTTTTACGCGGCTTCTAAATAATCCGAGGATTATTTTTATAAGGCCAACCTTAATAGGGTAGAAAATTTTGAGACTTGGAAATTTATGAAGCTATTCCAGGAAGCTATTTTTGGCGCACTGACGTTTTTCATACAGAAATTAACAGTCATTTTAGAACGGAGAACATCAATTGCCAATTGGGTCGTCCAGCGAATGATTAGTCTTTTTGAACTCTGTGCGCTTTTTGACATTTTTTGAACGTTTTCGCCGCTTTGAGCCTTCGCATTTTGGAGTTTTTTTTGGCCTGTTATCGGCTCAAAACTTAATTCCATTGGAATTTTTTTGTGGGAGCAACACTTTAGTAAAGTTTACGTCTGTGAATATAACTTAAGGCACAGCTACTCGTCAGAAGTTATTTGAGTATAAAATAGAGAATATTTCGAAGACGACTAGTGAACGGTTTAAGTCTCACAGCTGAATCTATAATCGCGACGAAGTGTGATTATGTTGAGTTTTTTTTTGAAGTATCTATTTTTCCCGAGCTACAGATGTCCAGAAATTATAGAGAGTATTTAGGCGTTCAGAAGAGATTACTGCTAGGTACCGTCACAAGTAGGAGTAGTTGAAAAAAACGATACAATGAGCAGGAATACGAGGCTAATATAGCTTAAAATCGATACTGTTTCCGGCCTGAAGTGGCTAGTTCGAACAGTACAAATATAATATATGTTTTGTTTGCACTTACAACATTATATATGTGCTAATTTGCTGTGGGCTTTAAAGCTGCTGTTCTGAACGAAGTTGTCAGAAGTGAAAGCGAGCTTGGCTAACAAAAAAAGATATACCGGATTGGCTAGAAATGAATGCCACTAGGACTATCGCCGGCCGATGGAATGAATACTTCTTCACTGGCCTTCAAAATTCAAATACGCTAGTCAATGGCTAGGTCAGTATGATGTGTGTCGCTGGAATATATGTAGAGTATATCGAGCACGTAATAGGTTAAGTGGGCAAAACTACAAATTCTGATTTCGTTTGATCAGGCGAATGCCTGATCGGGGCCGAACGACCTAAACTGCGCCGATTGAGATCTAACTAGCTAGATGAGTGGTTCGTTCGATCAGCTGCTCATGATAAACGAAAAAGGTGTTCGAACTAGACATGCCAAAAACAAAAAGGGATTTTGTTTTTGGTTGATTCCACTGAGGAAACTCTTATAAGAAGCTGTTGAATTTTCAGCTAAACTACAAGAAATTCTTCAGATATGAGGGCAAGAAAGATATTGGCATAAAGTATTCCCTCGGACTGTTACTGGACTATACTAAGCCATTGTTTGAGCAGTTTCACTGCCGAGCGAGTCACGGCCGATTTGAACCAGCCGAAACGACTTGAGGGGAATATGAAGTAACGCAGTGACTATTTTAGGTTGCAGGAATAGACACGGTTTCTATTTGAAGCCCGCGATTGTGGACCGGCTAAGCTAATGTGCATTAAATTCGGATTTAAATAGGATATCCGCAAACTCTAAGGACAATGAATGAGAATTGTCAATGCCAGTGTTTGTACCATCAGGTCGGTACTATTCATTGGCTCAGAGAGATTACCTCTAAACGCCCCTTTTACACGACTTGTCTGGGTTGCAGTTTGTAGTCGACAAATCAAATGGGTTAATTCGCTGATGTGGTATTTCAAACTATCCTTTAGTAATTTTGTGTTCTTCCTGCTTCTCTCAAAGATCGTCAAAGCAACTCATCATAGTGCCTGTTGACCACACTGTGTGTCGAATAATTTTTCTGCCCTATATTACATTTAATCAATTCAGGATGAGCAGGAATTTAGTAATCTAAGAGGCAAAACGTTAGCGTCACAGATGGGTCCGAAGTACTTCCTTCGTCATCCGCTTGTATTTATTGAAATTTTATAGGTATGAATTTTTTGACAGCTAAGGTAACACACTCATTGAACCTTTATTCAGAACCGACAATAGGTTATACGCTAGAAGAGCCGTACCTTGAGGGATCTCAATAGAAAATTGCATTAATTCTAGACTTAAGTTCACAAAAGAAAATATATTCGATGCACATATAAAAAAAGAGCTTATTGGCTTATGAAACATTTTATCCAACGCTGGCTGCCCAGTAAAATGATATAAAAAAAAGTTACAAGACACCTGTACTCTATAGGGAAGTGTAGAAGGACCCTAAAGCGTTTAAAGCTAAAAAAATGTCAGAGCGCTCAGTGAAATAACTTTCTGGTTAGATTAAGTTACCTTTGGAACTAATATTTCGTCTTAAAAAAAAGGTATCACTTTATTCATGCAGCCATAAGACACACAAAGGGTCCGACCCTATCAAGATGAGGAATTAGAGCTCGTGCTCTAACTCTGACTCTCAATAGAACAGAAGTAGCAAAAGAAATATAATTAAATATTTAGAAAATAAAGGACGGCCTTACTTAGCCGTTAAGAGTCCTAGCTCGCTATAATCTCAATTTATATCAATATGCCATCTTCTGCATTTGTTTCAAATGATCAAGTAGTAGCTAAGCGTGGGCCATACAAGCTTAACGAATGCGTAGGGTACACATAAAACATTGTTACAGCTCGAGGAAGTAGAAATTTTACGGCCGCTGCGTCATATTTGTACAAACATCTGTACGTGATCGTGCTATCAGTCGAAATAGATGAATTTTTAGTTTCATTTGTCCGTTTCCATTGAGAGTGATAAAAAAAATTCTACTATGCCGCTTAGTAGACAAGATTAGGGACAATGCGAAAGAGAAAAAGAGGTAGATTTATATGATAGAAATAGTAGGCGATACAAAACGCGGCGCCCGTAGAGTTGACATGCTTTGTCTGGAACAAAAAGGACCAGAAACACGAGAGCGTCTTGCCCCTACTCGAGTAAAACTACGGCAGTTCTGGAGTCGCACAGAGGACAATTTCCTGGAGAGCAAACGACGACACCGCGAAAGTTGCTGAACGCGGTGCGCATACTTCGACAACGGCTGTCACAATTCATTTGTCTACCTTTGTAGAAAGAGGCGGGCGTCTTGCGAAGGCGACGCGTCTGCTGCTAGGCAACGCTACGGCGGCCTGCGTTTCAGTCGAGAGTAGAGACAAAAGGCAGCCAGACAGAATCGGCGTATATTCTATTTGGTAGTAAGCCAAGCTTTAGGGAACACTCGGTGGCATATGTAGCTGCCCTTGATTCAGCAGAGAAATCAACGACACATCTCAAGCAGATTAGCTTAAGTACCACGACAAACGACGTAACTGGATTAACTGTTGCTGAGATAGAAAATATGTCCGCTTACACACGAATATAGCTAATCTAACAAGCAATACCATACCGCAACGGTACGAACAGACATGAGCCAATCAACAAAACATAGAGTGGTTTTCTTGTATAGGTTTAATCATTAGATTAGGAAAATTTGGCCTATTGATAATAGTACATAGACATTGGTTCGAGTGATAAAAATGAATCAGGTCGAACACATTGTCATCCAATGTCTCTGTATCGTGTTTGGTACGGAGACGCGCATGCCTATAGTTAGAGTGAGTTCAGTCTGGTCGAATAGGTCACCTTTACAGGTACCGCTTTTGGTGGCAGTGGTTATTTCCCAATAGCAAGGTAAAACAATCAACCATATTGAAAACTCTATGCAGACAAAATTTTACCAGGAATTGCTTCTTCTTCCATTGCATGACTCCTTTGACTAATTAGCTAGTCGGACTCGGGTTGAACGTTACGCTATCGAGCGAGGACGGTTTATAATACGAATTATAGCAGCGGAAACGCACGTCTTGCGAAATTTTAGCTACGGGTCACCGAAACCGAATGCTTTCTCCAGCTGAGAATTACCGTTCGTCTTCGAACGTTGGTGTTCCGATTATATTAGATGTTACTTTATTGCCTGTCCCATAACAACGCGCGGTTGTACTTGACCTCACGGGTACGATTTTTCTAGATTCAAACTAGAAAAATAGAGCTTCCTCTCTGGTAGGTTAAATAGCGTTTACTCAAGAAAATGGACTATAGCAAACCGCCAGCCCGGCATATGGAAGATATATTTCTTCGAAGATACTTCACCAATGAGAAATTGAGCTGAACCCCATTGCGTCCATCGAGTAATGATGACAATAGCTGAAATTTAAGCCACAAGCATATACTACGTACGTGTGGAATACAGGACCGGAGTTAAAAAGCCTTCCTGTCCCTAACGAATCAGCTTGGTTTCGGCTATGAAGTAGATAGCATATGTTCTACCTAAACCTTTCAGGTAAATAGGTCAGAGCCGTTTTTGGTAAGTTAGAAAGCTGACATTTTTTTTCGTTTGCATATATATATATATAGCGCTCAGCGCTACATGCTTAATGTGACGAAAAAGTGCCAGCGGGTTTTTACCGCAGCAAAAACTATACACACAAAACAGTTAATGACTGTTTATTGTGCAGTTATCGAATGTAGAACTGCATCGTGTAGCAATCGCTTTATCATTTGCCACAACGCAAACCCTGCCATATATTGTATTCTCTAATTTAGATCGCTGATACGAATAATCTACTAGGTTCGATCCCGTGAGTTGACACGTATAGGTCGAGTTTTCGTGACGGAAATTCAAGGATCTTTCTTTATCAACAGCATCAAAGTGTCTCTAGCTTGTTTGGTCAGTATAGAATTTTAAAATTCGCTATGTCTTGGGCTTTTCGTATAGATATCACAGTTTCACGATGAATTCTTGAAACTTGTCAAATTTCAAAGAGAGTGTTATTTGTAGAGTACTAGTAGTACTCTTTGCTAAACAATAGAACGGCCTGGCACTAGAATTTGTAAGCAAGTCTTTAGAACGTGTGACGATATCCTTCCTGCGGTCCTGGAAAACGCACTGGCATTATGACAATTGCGAACGTAGATTACGTGACGGTAAGACCTCGGAAGGATCTGACGGCTGAACATCACTGCCGCTACGGCAAAACTACCTTTTTCAAGGTGCATTAGGACAAGCTTAGCGTCTTGCCTGCTGACGCTGTAGCTTGGTGTTCTTCATTGATGTATAAGCAAGTCGAAATCGAACTTTCCTTAAGCTTTGAGCGTAACAAACACAATAGCCTTTGTGGACTTCTTTTCTTTGAATAGAAACTTGCACAGCCACAAAGACCTCTAATTTTAATTGGGAGCGCTTTGTGCTCGTTTGTATATCTTCAGGGCCAATTAATAGGAATGAGTTTCCAAAAACGAGGTAAGTGGCTTCGACTTCCGAGTCTTTATGAAATTTAATTGTTGTACAATATTAAATATAAATTATTTCAAAATGCGATCATAAACGTTTACCAAACAAACATATTGTAGAAATAACAAAAAGCGAGTTAATTACCACATCTTTCTAGCCAGCGTAATCTCTTTTAAAATGAACAAAGCTTACTTACACAACGCCTTTTGAGCACTGGAGATGCATTTGTCTAAGTAGGCCGATTTGATTGCTGACAATAAACAGTAGGTAAGCCACCGCAGGAAATTCATGAGATAACTAGAAGCTTGAATTTTCAGCCTAAACGTGACATATCTATGGGCAACCCAATGATCGCCGCCCAGATACTGCATTGCAAGTATAATTTATATCATATATATATATATCGTAATGATATATGCAAGCTACACTGGAGCAAATCAGATCTATATAACCAATATTTTCATTGAAAAGTACGTTTGGTGGGTGGCGTAAGTTAAATTCTCCTTTTTCCCAGAGAAGTAGACGTACGGTAAATTTTTTTTCCCCGCTAACATGTTACAGAGACGATGAAGAAAACAAATTACTTCGGCAATTAGCAAATGGCTCATAGCGCGCTTGTAACTTCTCACAGTTAGATCAGTCATTATTTTTGGTAAGTTTTAGCGCCGCTCACGATCAGATACATTATAAACAATAAACGTCTGCTTTTAACATGGTCATAGTAGTGTTGCATTGCATTGAACAATTGCACATTGCACACATGTAGTGTGTAACGTAATGAGCATCTTTCGATAGCTGCAGTAGAGATCTTATCACATGTCGACTGCCCTGAACGGGTCTTTGATTTTGCGTATGTTATACTACAAAGTGAGGATTAGCATCTAAAAGGATACCAGGACAAGGTACTCTTAATCATTGCGATCCGTCTTACTTACAAGCAAGGACTACCTTATTCCTTATCATACACTCTATGGTGTCACTTGGATCATTGTTCTTCGTACAGGGCCGATACAAACGTGTCCTGTATACAAAAGAATATCCGAAATACTGAGTCCTAGCTGCGCATCCGCATTTCACGATATGAATTAGGTTTACAACAAAAGATACAGGGTCGTACTTTAATGCAACTCAACTATCCGATAACGAGTGCGCATGGCGGTTTCGAACGTTTCCCTTACGTCTAGCTGCCTTCATTCACTTCGTAGAAGCATCAATAGAGGTCAAGGTTTGTCAATTTTATACATTACAGCAAATGGGAATCGTCAAAAACTTATATGTTGTCCTTTTTTTACATGCTTTAGCCAATAGCACCTGACTTTATCTTTATATAGCGCCCCTCGTATATACCAATACGTACATTACATGCCTAGTCTATCAAAGGAACTATTTTAGACGCGAAGAGCTAGCGTGTACTTTTACCGCATTTTATGGCTATTATATTATTGAGAACAATTATTATTCATTGATCAAGCGGTTACGTTCAGTCGTCAGCGGAAATATAACACTGAAGATCTTGGATGATTCTGGGACAAAGCTAGCACACCAGACGTATTCTGGCTGACAAATAAAACGACGAATAGATGCTTTCGATTGTTTTATTTCGATATTAACAAACAAAAAAATTGCTTAATTATTCTCTTCTGCTATTCTATGTATGGAACTCGTCTATTTACAGATATAATGATGACCGAAAATAACTCGTTTTTAAAATGTTTATATTACGAAAAACCAACATGCCCATGATCTCGAGTTCAGATCACTACCATTATGCAGAATATAATAGTTTTCAAAAGCATCCAGTGAATTAGCTCTCTCCAGTGCTCCTAAAAAACACGTTACAGTCTCTATAATACGTATGAAGCTTTTAAGTGGTTACGTCATTTCATTCTGGTTAGCGTTTTTATCGTTAATGGCACATACTTTTTACGAGAACCTGACACGCGCTAGGCAGTCTAATTGGGCATATCATGAAGAGGCCAAGAATATGCCTTAGCTAAGGAGAACAACGCGAGGCTTACCTACTAATGACTCTTCTAGGTTTGATGAACCCCTTTCGATGATCATGACCAACTTGACAATATATTTCATTTTTATAAGCCGTTCGTATTGCGTGTTGTGAAAGCCTACCAGCATCGAACTCTACTATAATCTGTAAAATGAATAGAAGTAAGCTCGACAATCATATAGTGCTAGACCAACTGGGCGTACTTTTGGGCCAATCATAGAAGTTAGCACATTGAACATGTTATCGTGGATTGTCGACCGATGGACTCGTTTTGAATAATTCTAGCTTCTAAAGCTTAGGAACCCTTTTTTTTTTTTTTTTTTTTACGTAAGTTAAAAGCACTATCCACTGAAGCACCGACCTAACTTCTAAGGTTATGAATCAAAAACGTGACCTGTCAAGCACTCGGCGTCCATTAATACAATATGAATATCGGCGCTCTGAATGCTGAAAAGCCTGCCCAAAGTTCGACTTTTAATAAACGTGCTAGGTTTTTAGAAAAGTGCAAAAAAAGGAATGATTCATAAATTTACTGATGAGAAACTCGTAAATTGGCAGTTTCACATCACATGTTGGCCTACTCATCTCTTCTATAGCAAGATTACTGCAACAGAGGATAAATTGTTACTATAAAGCATGAAAAATAAATAAATTGGGAAGTATCAAGTTAGACCAGCGTCATCTAGGCCTCTGAGCATATATCTGTGCGTCAAAGGAACGAAATGTTCTTTTGCTTACCTCGTTGTAGACGTTGAGTTTTCAGCGAAAGATTACCGCGACCGGGAAGACTCCCGTTATCGTTTTCACCTAGGCAAGCAAGTTGAAACCAACGAATATCAAGCACAAATTGTAGATAGTTCTTAGGCACACAGAGATCTGCTATTTTGCAAGTAATCTCCAATCATTCCCGAATAATGAAAGGATAAAAAAAGCTCCAGGAGAAGTCAAACAAATGAAGCCAAAGCAGAGAGCTTTACATACTATAACAGATTCGTCTTGCGAACTCCTTGTATAGTAGTTTGTTTCGTGTGGCTGTCAGTGACGATGGTGTGGTTCCATCATCAGGAGATTAAATGTGAAGATCCAGTGAGAACATTTGCAAAAATGTTTGGTCGGTAAAAATCGTCGTCTAGGTGGCACGATAGAGATTACGGCAAGATGCGGTTAATAACGCTTGCTCAGCCACTGACCACATCCACAACGCCACAGCAGCAGTAGTAGCACGAGTGCAGCCTCGCCTTATAGGCAGCGACGGCTTCGGAGTCTCACGTACGAAGCTTGGGTTGTGGTAATGACGCGCAAGCCGCCTTCTTGGAGCACGCACGTTAGATTCTGACAGCTGGTCACCGACGGGGTTTCAACTGTGGTGTCAACTATCTGTTATAGATCTACTAACCACTGAACGAGAAATAGTCGGGCCAGACTCGGTATCTCTTTATTTGATATGATCTTCTTTTTAGGTTCTTGGCTTCTTAACGCCGTTACCCTACCCTGGCTTTGCCCATCCCTGCTAGACGCTTGGCGTCTCCGTCTTGTGAATCTTCTCAAGCCTAGTCCTCTTAGCGGTCTGTAAAGCTAGTCCATGGGTACTAGATTGTAAGATTCTAAGGATTTAGTGATTGTCTAAATTTACGAACGCCTTGAAACGTAGGTTAATGCTCAGTACTTTTGAAAGTTGTCCACCTCATCTGTCATTAGTGTAGCGTCGTTTTTACAATTATTTCTTTGTTTATTCTCACAGGCTCTACTCATATAGCTAACAATAAACGCGACGGTTGCTCTCTGCAAGGGAACTAACTGCCGGGCCAAAAAATTCAAATTTTGGTACCACCACGATACACGACGAGATTAAGCTGACCGTGGATCTGAAGCAAGGGTGGTGCCTAGCGTTCGTAGCACACTCGAAATCAGCGGGAATCTTTACGTTACTTGGACCGTAAACGTAGATAACACTATGCAGTAGAACGATCCTACTGCACGCACCTATGGCTATGTTAGCATTGAGGGGATGTTTGCCTGCGCGGATTCTATTCAAGTATTTCGCAGAGTAGCCTGAATCTTGTAGAAAATATACGAACAAATAATTAACGGCTGTCTTGGCAGTGTGGGTTGGCGTCTTTTGCAGATTGTCACAAACCTGTCAGGTGCGCGACTCCGATGCATCTGCCAGATCAGTTCCAAGCGACTGAGAGCAACAGTACAACGCAGTAACCGGCCTGTTGGCCTGTGTTCTGGCGCATAGGCGCGCTGTTGCGGACAACGAGAGATGAGACGGCGCGTGTTCAGAGAGCTGAGTTGCTCTGCAGTGGATGGATGTGCACGGATAATCGACAAAACAGTTGTGGGCAGTCGCAGTCTGCGTCGATACGAACCGACGTTGGATGTTGACACGGGTAAGCACAGCTGTCGCTTTTAGGTGGCAGGTTTTCCCACTCGAACGACGGCGCTAGCTCAGCTCTAGTTGGCCCTGCTGTTTTCGGGTCGGCCACGAGTGTTAGCTGTATTCCCGTAATTGTTGTAGTGTCGCTCAAACTGGGCTGATTCTGTGGGCGCTTGGCTGCGTTATTGAGAGGGATGATTACCTCCAGAAACGATGGAAAGAGGAGCGCGCTTTATAGGCGATTTCGAGGTCTGTCCTTGACAAGCCATTGGGCTGCAGCAGTAATAGAGGTAGTAACGACGGTGGCCGCAAAAGGCCGCCAACAGCACGGGATAGCTGGAGAAGAGGAGAGCATGGCCCGTCCTCTCCTGGCGACTCCAAGCAAAGAGGACACGAGCGTTTTCGACGAACGAACGCGTTGAAGACATCAGAAGAAATATTACTCAACTCTATGTACGAATCAAGATTATTCCTACAAACGACGACAAATCGACGCCGAAGCTATGCGTTGGACCTTATCTGTCATCGTAAGCTTCTCGCTTCGCTGAATCTTATCACCCCACTATCACATGTATGTAGGTAGCTCTTCTTCGAGTCCGGAAGTATAGGTCAAGAAAAAATCGAAATGTTGCTTATCAGCTATGAAATGTGTGGTGATAATTATTTGGAGCTGCTATAATGCGATATCGAACTGCCCTATTCAAAACTTACTACTGTTTGAAACCTGCATCAGTTGCTAGCTATACAGGCGATCATTTTTCCCAATAGAGATTCACATTATGATCTAATTTCTAGTATAGCGCAATCCTACATAAAAAGCGAGAGACCTGGGGGGAATTCTGAGAGAAATTACTACTTCAAACAACTCTTTACAGCAAAAGTATCCGTTACCTTCAGTAAAACGGTACTGACTTAAAAATAAAATGTTTCTATCTAAATTGTATCAACAACCTCGTATCCGTCTGCTACCGATTAACTGTAGGCCCGTCAGACTATATAGTGTACAAAGCATACTTTCATTTTGCAGTGGACTATCAGCGCGGACAGTTCGGTAGCGAGATGACACACAAAAGCTAACAAGAAGCCCTTTCAGCAACTATACATCAAATCTACATTCACTGCGGTGTACAGTATACATTCAAATAAATGACTACTGAAATAAGCATTACAGACACACAGATAGATATGTCCTTGTACAAGCTTCAGACTGTACACGTAGACCGTTGGGCTATTCCACTGCCCGCGATACATGTGAAATAGTAACAAATAACCGTCATGGTCTACATACTATATACCCCAGCCTGCAATACATTTTATAGGTCATATTCAAATCAACAACCTTTTTTTTAACTGATTCGTCCTCTGAGACGGTTCTCTCCGCTTTATTTGCATTGATGAGTAGTATCCAAAACATCGAATGTGACGTCTGTCATCGAAATGATCGCCTTAACTATTCAATGACATCGAACGGCAGCTGCAAGGCTCTCGTAGCCCCTGGCCTTAGATATGGCCCTTAGTTAAACTGTGCTATTAGCATATCCGGAGGCTCGCCTAAAGATCCTAGCATACAAATCATGCTTTTCACATAAATTAAGGATCTGACACATTTCCATTACGCAATTACTTGTTAATTGAGCTTCAAGGGTCGTAACACATTTAGTGGCTTCTTAAGGACATCTATTCCGTTCAGACGTAAAACCAGACTTTATCATATCTTAATGACGACGCTTGAAATCATTTGATCGATAAAGTAGTACTATTTAGGTAGGTAACAGTACACGTCAAACAGATTTCGCCATATAGGGCCAAAAAAAATAGTGAAATGACTGAGTCTGAGGAAGTGAGTAGTCCCGTGGTTTAGGACCGATTTCACAATCATAAGTGTGCGGTCTTTTTGCAATTTCCACATTTTCCAGAGTTTCCACATTTAAAGTAGTTAAAGTTTGTCTCGCTATCACCTTTTCATGCTGTTCCAACGGGTCAAGGTCAGGATTCTCTTGATTGGAAAAGATCACACTGCCCGGCTAATTTCATGTGGCAAGTTTTGTTTATGCCCCTTGTTACCCCTCTAGCAATTACTTGACACGATGCAGAAGTAAACTAGCTTATTGAAAAAAGTCTATGATATCACTGGAACAAACTCAGATGCAATGTGTCTAGGTTTGTCTAGCATCGTACGCAGAAATATGGGCCTGGGTAGAGCGCCAAAGCTTTTTTAGGCAAGAAATAACAGCTCAAGCATTGAAAACATTTGTACAGGTAGAAAAGTCAAACTATTTTCACCTTTATTCGGCTAAAAACGCCAACGCTTGACTTTATAGACTACTGATATCTTGTATTACTCTGCCTTTATTATCTAGACCATTTACTCGGTCAGACTGCACAGATTATTATCCTTGCCTTGCCTGAGTTCAATTTTACCAATGAGCACTTTATGCATACATAATGCGGAATTGGGTATGCGAACTTTTCTACCCGGCTGAATCGTTCATTTGACCTTCTAGAAGGCTTTGATAATAATGAAAGTAGTGATAATAAATTGTGGGCTGGTAGACTATTTCGCAAATTCACTGCGAGTCGTGAAGACTGCGATAGAAATAAGAATCGATCGCACCACATTGTGTAGAGCATTTTGGCTACGAAGTGTATGTATAACTTGTTAATTAAATTTCGACTGTGATTAAAAAAGGAAGCAAGGCTTCAATCATCGCAATAATCGACGTTATGATCTTATATCACTCCCGAATCGAAATAGTCAGAGGCGCATTTACTAACGTCTCAGTTTCTGAAAACCGTGCTCTGACCAACAGAGGGCGTATCGGCTTAAGTCACTGGCAGTTTGAGGGAGCCAAGCGTTTGAGGTGCGAGCAATACGCCAGAATTTCCTAATCCCTAGCTCTAGGATGGGTACTCGCATCTCTAAAGCTACATAAAAGCAAACGTCATCGAACAATAATTGAATCACTTAGCCGATAAACAGTTTTTCTTCTTGTAGTTGAATCTTCCAACTTAATGAAAATTAACATTAACATCGTATTGTATAACAAGCAGCCTTTTTCGGTTTAGAAAAAATAGATGACTTTTTTTCTCAAGTCAATACTACTTGTCTAGAATGAATCATAAGGTGCTTTGGATTGAAGTGGAAAACCCAGATCGCATCGCCACTAATTATTTGGCGCACACAATGACCTTTTTAACCCACTTTACATGGCGATTGTAAAGCAGCAGACTTATGCCAATTCGTCTACCTAACGGACCCCACGTTCCTGTTTCCAGTATTTTTCTGCATAGCACACAGAAAGACAAGCTGTCCTGAAATTGTTTGTCAAGTTATTATAAACTGATCGGCAAGTCCGTACTGAGTTCCAGTGGCCAATGGAAATGATAATTATGAAACATTTCGGGACGTTGAGGCCGGAAACCTTTATCCAGAGAGAAACCTTTTCTATGAAATCTGACAAACTGAGTTCAATTATGGGTTCAATTAATACATTGACTCGAATTGTATTCATTTGAATCTGAAAAATCAGAAGCATACGCTATCTGAAGTAGCTCGTTTGTATCTTTATTTCGACGTTTATTACGCGTGTACCAGTAGACATAAACCATAAATGGCTCTAAGTAAGAGTAAGACAGAATTCAATCGCGAAGCGAAATAGTTTTCTGAGCATAAGCACTGAAGTGACTAAAGCCTTCATTCAAAAAAAAAAAACAAAAAATTCATTTGTACCTAGTATTTATCAGGTGTACAAATTATATTGTAGTTATTTATCAATAAAACGATTTGTCGTTTCCGGTCTTAAAGGCAGTATCTGGCTTTTACTGGCGACAAAACCCGTCATGATCAAAACAAGAGTGAACAGAATCCTATAAAAATCAGATGCAAGATTGTAAACTCTATTTTCCAATCTACGCCACATTGTATATGTTTTCTATTTCATAAGCTATTTTGCAGCTAAGTAGACCCAAAAAAATAAGCTTTCTTTTATACCCTTTTTATCGGTATGTATTTTAAGTCATTCCACACGCTGATCAACGATTTGTGCAAATAATCATCAATTTTATTTGGCACCATTTGATAAATATTTGATTTATCCTAATGTTTTTTCCAAAAATAACTAATGTCGAGAAGTGTATTCCGTTATTAGGGCATAGCTAACATTTGTGACCCCTAAGCGTGCCCTAAGCAAATATCTGGGTTTGTTCCTTTGACTATTCCGTTTCAAAAGTTTTACTTATTAATAGGCAAAGGTTCATTTGTTTTCAGCGACGTTTTCGAATGGGATTGTAAAAAGCACATAACATATTATTGTGTAGCATTTATGAGCGTCTCTAGCTGACCTGACAAAATCGTGAAAGTTTGATTGTAGACATACCCTTATCAATTCCGTACACTGTATTAAATGGAAGTTACATTGACTAATTAGCGCTATCATAAGGCTATCATAGTGATAATATTCAGTAATTAAATGAATATCTATTAAACATGATTCCGTGATCTGCTAAATCTGTACATGCGTCTATGCGCAGGTTATGTTTGAAGTTTGAGCAAAAGGCTAGAAAGAAAACTTTGTCAATTAAATCTCAATATCTAGATTAGTTTTTTTTCTGATAGCTAGCACGTTCACACCAGTTACAGTGACCCGCAGAGACAGCCAAGTAACCGAAAAGAAGGGCAACCACGAACACAGACGGACAGACACAGGCCGAGATAGACACGGACGCAGGTAGCCAAATGCAGACCGACGCACAAGTTAATTTTTTTTTATATGCTCAGTTAGACTGTACTTCAACAAATCCCAATGACGAAGTTCGGGGACCCCGTCTTAAACTGTACCCGCGCCTGTTTTTGGCTACCCTATCTGATTTGCCTGCTACAAGCAGTACGTTCCTATAGTTGCTACGCACGGAAATTTTTGCCACCTTGCTTACACGCTGTCGAGTTTCAGATTTGGCAAATGTTTAGCGGACATCATGCTGTATGACATTTAAGAAATTTAAATTCTGCGTACTTTGGACATGTCCGCTCAAACTAGCGCGCTTTTCAACAATAAAACACGGGTCACCGTGGTGCTAGGAAGGTATGTCAAACAAAATTCAAACTAGAGTTCGAACGGATAATACGATCCGCAGGCGCAATGCAAACAGAGAGATGGGGGGCATCGGTCGACGAAAAAGAGCACCTAAGCGAAGCGTGCAGGGAGATCGACCCAGGCTAGGTCGGACGCCAAAACAATATCAGACCAGTCACACA